TGGGTGGGCCATTGGCCTGATCCAACATGGCTTCTCTTATTGTGTTCTTATGAACATCTCTGGACAACTGCCCTGTTCACACCCAACCCCACTGGCCCCTGGTGGCAGAGGGTCAGAACCTTCTAGGTTAAAAATAATAAGCACCCCCATCCCTTTAGAGAGCAGGGGTCCCCAACCCTTTTAGCAGCATTGCCAGTTTCCAGGTGGTGAATGGAGATATCCTGGCATTACAACTGCTCTCCTGGCAACGGAGATGCGTTCAGCTGGAGACGATGGCCATTCTAAGGCAGGGCTCGTTATTGGCTGCCCTCATTCAAATGAAGTTGTTTTCCAATTTCTGAAAAGCTCAGCAGGCACCATGGGAAATACTCGGCGGGCACCCTGTTGGGGAACCCTGCTTTAGAGGCCTTCCTTGCAAAACCATCATTTTTTTTTTAAAAAGCAAACAAACCGACCAAACATACACAACTTGCCAAAGACGACGCACACAGATTAACTGCAACACCAGGATCTCAGGGACATAGGAGCCCCCCCCCCATCAGTCTAATCACCATTATCTCCTCTGACCATGTTCTAAAAGGGAAACTGAAGCTCTCCAGTGCAGCATCCCAGGACAGACACAATGGAGGACCTCTCGTTAACCTCCCCTGAATTAACAGATCCGTCACCACACAGCCTTGGCCTCGTGCCCTGCCTCCTTTCTCTCCACCTGCCCCTGCCCAGTAAGTAATGTTATACCACGCTGTCCGCCAAGCGAGGAACCTTCGTTGGCTCTGCAGCCGTGACTTGCAGAACTTCGTTTCCTGCCCAGTAACCTGGCAAAGACGACAGACGGGTGGAGAACAGCGGGTCATCCTGCAGAGACCTAAACCCATGGGAAAAGCGCAAACTCTGTCTTCATATCCACTAGAATGACACAGGGACCCAACAACATCAGCCACACCGTTAAGAGCTTATTCCTCTGTATGCCCTCTTAACGTGGTCTGTGCCACCATGCACTCGCAATTCCTGCCTGCCGTTCACACTAGCCAAACTAGACTCATAGAGGGATGAGAACACAACAGAAGCCATGTTGGATGAGGCCAGTGGACCATCCAGCCCAACACTCTGTGTCTCACAGGGTCCAAAACCCAGGTGCCATCAGGAGATCCAGCAGTGGGGCCAGGAAGACACTAGAAGCCCTCCCACTGTTGCTCCCCCAAACACCAAAAATACACAACATCACTGCCCCAGACATAACGTTCCATCTATACCTTGTAGCTAAGAACCACTGAGGGAAATAATCCCATACATGCTCAGAAACCAGTGAGGGAGCATTTCAACACCACTGCTCATTCCAGACTTAACAACTGCAATACTTCAGCAGAAGAGTTTCAAAGGAGCATGCACCCACCAAGATAAAGCTGTGATGGAAATCTTAGGAACATCAGAACAGCCCTGCTGGATCAAACCAGTGGCCCGTCTGGTCCAGCATCCCGTCTCACACAGTGGCCAACCAGGTCCTCTGGAGTGCCAACAGCAGGGCATAGAAGCAAAGGCATTCCACGAGAATAACATCAGAAGAGCCCTGCTGGATCTGACCAGTGGTCCATCTAGTCCAGCATCCTGTCTCACACAAAGTGGGCTCCAGCTTACAAAAATTTGCTCCAATTAAGGTTTTTCTGACGTCATCCAGTTTTGATTTCTTCCAATCAGGTCAGGAGGAACTAGCGCTGTTCACATCATGGCACTCTCTGATTCCTGGGAGTTTCTCAGAGCCAGTGGACTCCCATGGGAAGGGGCCTTTGCTCAGTGGTCCCAGGTTCAATCCCCGGCATCTCCAGTTAAAAGGACCAGGGAGTAGGTGATGAGAAAGACCTTGGCCTGAGACCCTGGAGAGCTGTAGAGAGGGGCTGTGGCTTAGTGGTAGAGCATCTGCTTGGCATGCAGAAGGTCCCAGGTTCAGTCCCCGGCATCTCCAGTTAGAAAAGGACCAAGCACTAGGTAATGGGAAAGACCTCTGCCTGAGACTCTGGAGAGCTGTAAAGAGGGGCTGTGGCTCAGTGGCAGAGCCTCTGTTTGGCATGCAGAAGGTCCCAGGTTCAATCCCCGGCATCTCCAGTTAGAAAAGGACCAGGGAGTAGGTGATGAGAAAGACCTTGGCCTGAGACCCTGGAGAGCGGCTGCCAGTCTGAGTAGACAAGACTGAACTTGATGGACCAACGCTCTGATTCAGAATAAAGCAGCTCCATGTGTTTTCGTGGCTTAGCTAAATTGATTATGGAACATTTTATTTTAACATGATGAATAAAATATTTTAAGACAAGGTGTTCAAATATTTTCCAAATCATTTCTAAAAAATATGTATGGTATCAGATTGATCTAATTTCTGTGCACTGAGGACAAGCAAGTCCTAGGTTACAAACTGAACTCTCCAATGCAAGAACAAGATGCATTTCTTCCTTTAGGAGGTGCGATTGTCAGAAGAAAATAAAAAAGTTTCAGTTTTGTTTTTGCATGTGGGTGGGTATTCTGTTTGTAATAATTGTTTGGATACACTATATTTTTAATATGCTAGTTGTGATAATTTCATGCCAAGTAAAAATGTCCATAGTCAAATTTTATGTTCCTAAAGTAACAGAATGACTCTCAATCTAGAAAAGACAAAAGAAATGCTAATGTAGCATTTTTTTCCATTTTCCCGAAAAATTCCGTTTTTTTCCGGGGAAAAAAACAAGAATTTTTCCGAGCTTCAAAATTTCCGGAAATTTCACATATCTAGGCTTAGCAAAGGGACTACACAACTCCCAGGAGGCTTCATAACTTCCTGTACTTCCACACAGCTCCCCGCACGGAGTGTTGCATTTGAGAAACTCAGTGCCAAGAGTCTGGGTTTTAAAATCTGAACTCCTAGCTTGGTGCCCGTATCCTCCCCCCTTTCAAAAATTCAAATGTCGCCACAGAAGCATATGGAGCTCCCAACATTTGATTCCAGCTGGCAGCAAAACGTCTCTTCAACTGTCCGGGGCTCACTTTACCTGCCCTTCCGTCCCCCCAGTGTGAACCGTGCTCATTTGTCAATCTCTGACCTCACTTACCCTCTTTCTCCCCCCAGGCTCGACTACGGGAATCGATGACCGCTCCATTCCAGGGGATGAGTCACTTTCTTTTGTGAGTCACTCAGCACGATCATGGTGCTTAGTTAATATTCCAAGTTACTCTTCGAACTTTCTGCATGCACAATTTGCGCCAACCTCTCTGGGTGGAGAATTTGCCCTGATGGAATTCTGACAAGTTTTTACTTTTTACAGCCTATTTATCCCATGGTTAAGACGCTGAACTGCAGGCCGGAAGGTCGGTAGCTCGGCAGTTCGAGACCCGAGTGTCGCATGATGGAGTGAGCGCCCGTCTCTGGCCCCAGCTCCTGCCAACCTAGCAGTTCGAAAGCAAGAAATTGCAGGTAGATAAATAGGTACCACTTTGGTGGGAAGGTAACAGTGTTCCGTGCGCCTCGGCGTCTAGTCATGCCGGCCACATGACCACAGAAATGTCTTTGGACAGCACTGGCTCTTCGGCTTGGAAACGGAGATGAGCACTGCAACCCTAGAGTCGGATTCGACTGGCTTTCAAGCAAGGGAAACCTTTAACTTTACTTTTACTGCCTCTAATGCTGCTCATCAGGGGTCTCCAACCTGGTGCCCGTGGGCGCTATGGTACCGCTAGCACCTTTCCTGGTGCTTGTAAAGTGTTTCTAGGAAGTGGGCGGGGCTAGGTGGGGCACTTGCCCAGCAGGGCTCCTGATTGGCCGTGCAGTTTAAAAGGTATTGCGTCAAACAGAGTTTCTGCCTGAAAGGTCAAATTGTTACTATCAGCGTTATGTACAACCTCACTCCCTGACATGTGGTCCTCCTGCAGCAGCTGTTTTGTGACTGGCTCCACCTCCTGCAGCAGCCGTTTTATGACTGGCTGCATCTCCAGTGGCCGCCATTTTGTGTCTGTATCCGCTGCTCTATTTCACACTTTCAAAGGTGCCCACAGGCGCAAGAAGGCTGGGGACTCCAGCGAATATGGAAATGGTTGTGGTCGACAAGCTTGTATGACATCAATAGATTTGTTAGATTCAGGTGGGTAGCCGTGTTGGTCCGAAGCGACAGAACAATGCCCAGAGAAAGTAAAACAACAAAGAGGAAAGTCTTGTGATACCTTAGACCAGGGGTGTCAAACATGCGGCCCGGGGGGCAGATCAGCCCCCCGGAGGGCTTTTCTCAGGCCTGCAGTGGAACTGGCTGTCTTCTGCTGCTTCCTCCAGTTCTGCTGCTGCTGCATCATCGTAGGTTTGCAGCTTACAGGTACACACCTGAACAGCATACTCAAGATTGCAACAGCACAGACATTTTGATGCAGTAATTCAGAGCAAGAGGTGTCAGTTATCAGGCATTGTTAAATCAACAAAATATTGCAAGAGTGCTAATGTTTTAAGCATGTTTTTATTTTAAGTAAAAAAACCACCTTTGTGTTTGTGTCTCCTTTATAAAGTTTATATCTCCGCATACATTTTATGACACACATGGCCCGGCCCAACAATGTCTCATTTATGTCAGATCTGGCCCTCATCACAAATGAGTTCGACACCCCTGCCTTAGACTAACCAATTTATTGAACGAAGTCTGAGTCCAGTGGCACCTTTAAGACCGACAAAGTTTAATTCTGGGTAGAAGCTTGGGCATATACACAGAAGCTTATACCCAGAATTAAACTTTTTTGGTTTTAAAGGTGCCACTGGACTCAGACTCTGTTTAATAAATTTGTTAGTCTAAAGTATCACAAGACTTCCCCCTTTGTTGTTTCACTCTCTCTGGGCATTGTGTGGATTCTGGAGAGGTATCAAATTAATGCAGCAGATCCCTGAGCATGATAACAGATCCCTGAAACAAAGAGTGCAGGCGTCTAACCCTCAAGCTCTTGCAGACAAACCATTAAAACAACGGGACCTGCAACCTGGAGACTGGTTCCCAGCTCACCTGAACAGGTTTTCTGCGCCCGCACGCATCCTCATCTCCTTGTTGATCTGCTGGTTAATTCGCGCCCGGCGATGCTGCAACTTGCTCCTCTGCGTCTGGGCCAATGGGTCGCAGCCCTACGGAAGAGAAACCCGGTTTTTAAAAAACACGACTTGGTTTGGAGAGTAGCCCACCTGTTTTCAAGCCTGTAATATGAAGGAACAGAACCTTGCTTTGTTGTTTGAATACTGGATATTTCAAGACAACATGATTTAAATATGATAGAGAAATGGCGAGGCCTCCTGGCTCCAGACGACGATGACAAGAAGAAGGTGGAGGAGAATAAGGAGGAGGAGGAGGAGGATTTATACCCTGCCCTTCACTACCCAAAGGTGTCTCAAAGCGGCTTACAAACTCCTTTCCCTTCCCCTCCCCACAACAGACACCCTGTGAGGTAGGCGGGGCTGAGAGAGCTCTTGACAGAAATGGCTCTTTTTCAAGAACACCTCTTATCAGAGCTACGCCTTGCCCAAGGTCATCCAGCCAGGTGCAAGTGGAGGAATGGGAAATGAAACCCGGTTTTCCCAGATTAGAGTTCGCACACTTAACCACTACACCAAACAGAGTAATCCCCAGGGCTTTTTTGTAGAAAAAGCCCAGCCAGTGGGGCTGAGAGAGCTCTTGACAGAAACGGCTCTTTTCCAAGAGCAGCTCTTATCAGAGCTACGGCTTGCCCAAGGTCATCCAGCCAGGTGCAAGTGGAGGAGTGGGGAATCAAACCCAGTTCTCCCAGATTAGAGTCCGCGCTCCTAGCCACTACACCAAACAGAGTAATCCCTATGCCTTACCTCTCCCATTTATTAAATTAGGACTACAGAAGGACGTTTACACTAAGGCATTGGGATGTACTCCCATCTGCAATCCTGGAAGAAATATTTAACAAGAAAAGATATGCCCCTGTTGTGCAGATGGTATTGAGTCTGTAGAACATGTAATTTTTTATTATAAAGCATACAACATCCACAAGTCTCTTCCTTTCCCTAAGACACTCCCTCTCTCTCACACAGGCAAAGAATCTGCTTTTAAAGAAAATTGCTATCATTTAGCCGGGCAGAAGTTACTTACCGGGTGGCTAGGTTCGGATGGCTTGCCCTAAGAATCAGAAAATCTATAGTACCTCGAAAAGAGGAGAATTAAGATTAAGTTTTATTAATGTTAACCATTATGGTTTTGATGGTGTTTTTATAACCAGTCTTAAAATTCTGTTCCTATTTTACTTCTTCACCCAAAGAGTGATTAACACATGGAACTGACTGCCACAGGAAGTGGTGGCGGCTACAAGCATGGACGGCTTCAAAAGGGAATTAGATAAGCATATGGAGCAGGGGTCCATCAGGGGCTATTAGCCACAAGAAATAGATAGTGGGTCCAGGACACTAGAAGCCCTCCCACTGCTGCCCCCCAAGCACCAAGAATACAGAGCCCCTTGCCCCAGACAGAGAGTTCCTATCTAGACCTTGCGGCTAATAGCCACTGATGGACTTCTGCTCCATATGCTTATCTAATAATTCCCTCTTGAAGCTGTCCATGCTTGTAGCCGCCGCCACCTCCTGTGGCAGTGAATTCCATGTGTTTATCACTCTTTGGGTGAAGAAGGACTTCCTTTTATCCGTTCTAACCCGGCTGCTCAGCAATTTCATTGAGTGCCCAAGAGTTCTCGTACTGTGAGAAAGGGATAAGAGTACTTCTTTCTCTACCTGCTCTATCCCATGCATAATCTTATAAACCTCGATCATGTCACCCCTCAGCCGTCGTTACTCCAAGCTAAAGAGCCCCAAGCGTCTTAACCTTCCTTCTTAGGGAAAGTGTTCCAACCCTTTTATCATTCTAGACTAGATGGACCACTGGTCTGATCCAGCAGGGCTCTTCTGATGATCTAATGAAGGCCTCGGCCTCTGTGCCCTGTTGCTGGCCCTCCAGAGGAATTGGTTGGCCCCTGTGTGAGGCAGGATGCAGGACCAGATGGACCCTCACTGGTCTGACCCAGCAGGGCTCTTCTGATGTTCTTCTCAGGGGAAGGCCTTGGTCTCTCTGCCCTGTTGTTGGCCCTCCAGAGGAACTGGTTGGCCACTGTGTGAAGCAGGATGTTGGACCAGATGGGCCACTGGTCTGATCCAGCAGGGCTCTTCTGACATCCTTAATCTGCTGCGCCCACATCGGGAACGGGCTTTGGGGTGAAGGAGAACTAAAGCAGTGAATCCCGCTGAAGATTCTAGACTCATCCTGGATCTTCTGTGCTCAGTAGGCTAGAAGACTGAGACTCCAGGTCAAAACCCAGGACCGAAGCAATTCCAAGTCAGAGAATCTTGAGAATATTGCTGGTGCTAAAACTCTGAGTGTCCAGCATAACCCCATTCCCTTTGCCCCGGCGGCTACCCGAGACAAGAGTTCATCGTGCAGCACAAAGAAACGTAGGCACAATAGCCGAGTCAGCATAATGGATACAGCACTCATCACCTTTTCTCGGCATGGGAGCGGAGCTGCCTCGCATTGCTCCGTTCCCTGTCATTTTAGAAAGTCAGTGTCACAGGGCAGGGGGAGGGGAGGTGACATTCGTATGAACCTTTGTGGGAGGGACTGAGGGGGGGTTATTCGGGCACAACGGTCAAGTTTCCATGTCTGTGCGCATACAGATTTGCAGCTCAGACCAGAATCCCTCGGATCTTGTGTGCGGAAGAAAAAAAGCAAGTTTCCTCTAGAGCAGGGTCACCAACCTTTTTGAGCCTGGGGGGGACATTTGGAATTTTGAGAGCAGGTGATGAGCTCCACCTGCCAGAAATGGCTTCCACAGAAGAAGAAGAGGAAGAAGAGGAAGAAGAAGAGAAAGAAGAATATGAGGAAGAAGAGGAGGAGATTGGATTTATACCCCGCCCTTCACTCGGCATCTCAGAGCGGCTTACAAACTCCTTCCCCTTCCCACAACAGACACCCTGTGAGGTAGGTGGGGCTGAGAGAGCTCTTTCGAGGACTGCTCTTGAGAGAACAGCTCTGACAGAACTATGGCTTGCCCAAGGTCATCCAGCAGCTGAGAGTGGAGGAGTGGGGGAATCAAACCCGGTTCTCCCAGATTAGAGTCCGCGCACTTAACCACGACGCCAAACTGGAAGGTGGAACCAACCCCCAAAATGGCTTCTGCAGGGGGTGGAGCCAAATGAAATACCTTCTTCCTCACTGCTCCAGGGAAGAAGGAAGGCCTGAAGGAGGAGTGGAACCACATGGACAATGAAAAGCCCAGGTGCTTACCAGCTCTCCTGATCACAGAATCATAAAGTTGGAAGGGATCTCCAGGGTCATCTAGTCCATCCTCCAGCGGGAAACCATCGCAGCTGAATGAAGGCAGCCAATAAGAAGCCCTTCTTTACAACAGGTCCAGCCCACTTTTTGAAAAGCTTGGTGGGTGCCAAGGGGAGTACCAGCATAACCCACGCGCCCACGGGCACCACGCTGGGGAACCTGGCTTTAAACCACACATGGCACACAGGAACATATTCCTCTCTTCTTTCCGCTTTGGAGAGACTAAGGGCACAAACCAATGGAAAGTTCTCTTGCACAAACCCTGCGGAAATGAATGGGAGGCGTATGTTTCAATGGGACTAGCCACCTGAGAGCAGAGATGTAAAACTCCCAGAAATTTTGAAGCCATGGGGGGGGGGAACATTTCTCCCCCCAGGGAGAGGGGAATGGAATTTTTTTTTTGAAAAACTGAAGTATATGCAATACTTCCATTCCTAATCAAAACTAAACCTGCTTTGCAGCCTCATCATAAAAGGCATCATTTAAAACTTAGTTAGCATATAAAGTGTATTAATTGGCATATTTGTGGAATTTAAAAGTACAAATGCCTTGACTGTTTGCAAAATTGCAAACATAACCAAAGTATATCAGAGATACAAACTGCTGCACCCTGTGCTATCTTAGCACATTTGACTCATTCCAAAAAGAAAAAGAATCCAATTTATAGGACAGGATTTCTTTTTTTTTCCCTTTTCAATTTATAATTTTTATTTTTCAAAAGTAAAATTAAAAGAACATTAACCAAAAAACAGTGCATGATACATTCAAGTACAGGAATAGTCCAAAAAGGTCCAAAGACCAACAAACTATGTACAAAAGATATCAACCGATCAGGTGCATTATTGTACCCTTCTTTGCAATACTAGAAGGACAGGACTTCTTGACGAACTCCCCAAATTTCCCGTTTTCCCAACAGAAACATTATTTTTAAAGTCCCAGACATTTTCTTGCGATATACTTTGAGTGCATAAAACCATGTCTTAGAAAACATTTAACTCATTCCAAAAGAAAAACAAAAAGCCACTCCTTGTGAGACTTGATGTGCTTTCCTGAGTCCCTTGGCATGAGCTGGGCCAAGCGCCCTGGATCACACCCAAAGAGGGGGCTATCAATTTTCTTCGGCCCTCTCTCTTCGGCCAGTTTGGTGCAGTGGTGAAGAGCGCGGACTCTAATCTGGGAGAACCGGGTTTGATTCCCCACTCCTCCACTTGCACCTGGCTGGATGACCTTGGGCAAGCCATAGTTCTGATAAGAGCTGTTCTTGAAAGGGCAGTTCCGGAAAGAGCTCTCTCAGCCCCGCCTCCCTCCCAGGGTGTCTGTTGTGGGGAGGGGAAGGGAAAGGAGTTTGTACGCCGCTCTGAGACTCCGAGTGAAGGGCGGGGTATAAATCCAATCTCCTCCTCCTCCTCTTCTTGTATCTTTAAGAACAGGCAGCAAGTCGGCAAGCCAAACTTTCCTTATTTGTTTGACTTAACTTCCAACTTAGTTTCCCAAATTTGCTCAAGGCGGGTGTTATGTCTTAAGTTAATAAAGCAACGTTTCGCTTAAGCATAAGTTCTATTACAACAAAGCAGTGTCTGGATTGGAGAACTAACCAATCAGAGAAGCCTATGCTTTCGTCGGGAGCCACTCTCATAGGTTCCAAGCACTGTAATTCTATTGGACGTTACCTGCTTGTTGTGTGTGTTTACCCCTATTCAAATCGTATATAAGCCAGCCTGGTTACAGGCACTTTTGTCTTGAAGTCTCTGTCTATTCTTGTGCTGTTATGAGCTGAATAAAG